CCTTGACCTGCAGGCTGGTCTTTCATTTTCTGCTTGTTAATGACCTTTCCTTTTTGTTAATGTATGATGTCCTTGATATCACCCTAACCTCATGCGGTTTTGTCATTAGTGTTCAATATGCCAAATCCATTGTGAGGGTGGTCTCTAAATTCAGGTTGGAAAAGCTCAAGGTTATATTTTGGTTCTCATGAGCTTTTGTAAATTTTCTTCAGCTTTAATGTGAACTTGTATATGTGCCATTGATGGTGATTCACAAATGGCTCCTGAGTTTGTTTTGGCTGATAGTATTGAGTTTCTCCACTGTTTCTTTCCACCAATGTGGTTGATTTGGTTACTATGCATGACAAATGATGGAGTGTGTGTATATGGTAGCTATTCACGTTGTTGACAAAAGCTATTTGCAATGAAATAGTCATGAATAAGTCTTGCAAAACTCTACGATGGGGTTTTCAGTGTCATTTCTACTAACAAAACCAGAGTTTCTAAGCACAGCTGTTCTCCTCTGTTCTAAATTTCACATTTTGGGGACCGGTAATTATTGTGAGAATGGAAATCTGTACCCCACGGGTGACCCTGATGGTATTTTAAATAATGCTCTCATAGGGCCGACTCTCATAGCAACACATAAGCCACTAAAGCATGAACATAATGGTAGCTTGGAACATAATGGAAAAATAACCATTATATGACAATGATGTAAACAGGTTTGCAAAGTATTTAAACAATTGTTATAAGCATATGCAGCAATTGAATCACTGTAGCTTATTAACACAGGTCAAATTTATCCTTTATCAAAATTTCTGCCCAAGTTATTTTAAAGATGATAGCTACAAACATTACTTTGTGGAATTCCCAAACCAAGGCTAGGCAAAAATGTGTGTGTGTGTGTGTGTGTGTGTTTATTTAAGTGCATGAAAGATTTGGTGAACTTTATTTTATCACTCAAACTGATTGAGAGAACTGTTGAAAGCATTCTTTCAAAAATCCAATCTTACCCCAGTTCTTTCTTTAACCTTGACCCAAACAGATAGTCTGAGGCACAGGGAAAGCATTCAGTCTCGGTCCCTCTCAGGAGACTTGCACTGCTAACTGGAAAGAAGGGCTTTTTGAAGAATAAGAGCCGGGGTGAACTCTATGGCCCGCTGGACCTTGACTAGCACCGAAACCACTCTGTTCTGCTTACCTGGGCAATATCATTTAGATAGTGACACCTTTCGTGGGTAGCGTTCCAAGTGGGAGGTGGTGCCAGAGGAGGGCGAGCAGGGAATCAGCATTGACAGGACTCATGCCTACAGCAGGGCCTTTCTGGCCTGGGTGGTTGGCGCAGAGGTACTGCAGGAAGGGAAGCTCGGGAGAGTGCTATGGCAGTGGAAATTGGGAGGAGTGGAGGGCCAGAGAAAAGGGAATACAGTACACTGGGTAAGCCTGGTGAGGATCGGTGAATCAGTTATTACAGTGGCTGTATTATTAAGAAAGAGTTCAAGCTTTGGATCCTTGAAAGGCTTATGAATTAACTTCATAGACCCTCCAAGTTCAGAGACTTTAATCCATTGTTTTTGTGTTTGTTTGCTTACTTATTTATTTATTTAGGAGGAAATCAAGCACTACATTTTTTAAAACATGCTTCTTGAATTGAACTCCCTGGATTTGAGATCTGTCTACACTTCTTCCTGTGTTGATGACTTTGGGTGATTTGTTTAATTCTTTCATATCTCAGTTTTCTAATCTGTATAAAGGAAATATTAATAGGGCCAGATCACACAAAGTTGTTGCATTAACTAAGCTAATACCAGTGAAATACTCAGGTCAGGGCAGAAAATGTTGAAAGTATGCAGTAAGTGCTAGCCATTATTATCTTGTTATGATTCTAGAAGTGCTAGTGGCTTTTGGGATTAAGTGTTGAATTAGTACATGCAAAGTCAGTGTTTCTAACGTACCAGGCCCTCCTTAGGAGAAAGATGAGGCTGTCAGCTCCCAATAAGGCTATATACTTTTATAAAGATTTACAGCCTCAGAGACACCCTACCAAGGGATATCAGGAATGAGAGTCCACTTGATGGTGATGGGTTTTGTTTTACGATGGTGGTTGTTTACTATATCTGAAAATTGTCAATGACAAGTCCTGGTAGAGCAGAGAATGTAGACCGGAGTCACGGGCCTATCATTATGCAACAAAAGACTTCATTTATATTCCTAACTCTACGCTTCTAAGTCGAGGGAACATGTCTAAGTCAGAGAAGGGTGCCCTTTCTGCCCCTTAACATCAGAGTTCAGAAGAATAAGCTGCCTGGAAAGCTGGCTGACTTTCTTCATACAAAGTGGCATCTATTTCTCAGGCTGGCCTGGGGCTGGGGCTGACCAGGGCTCAGACTGCTGCTCATTTTTGTCAGGTGCATTAACTCTCAGAGCACAGGATGCTGTTTTGTGCAGGATTAGTCACTTGCTAATTACTAATTACTGCAGTGGCCACAGACCTCAGGTCAGCAATTTTCTCTCTTAGCACCAGGAGGATTCAACATAATAGAGACCAGACAGGTAATTTGCATAGGCTCTACTTAAGAGAAGCAGCCCACAATAGAAGATGGCAGAGGAGGTTTCTGTACTGAAAGCAAGTGGAGGAGACACATTGTGATAGGCGCTTTCCAGAGCTTCCCAGGAGAACACCTGGCCCATCGGCCTGCTGGAATATGGCAGGTGATCACATTGGAGACTTAGTGCAGGGCAGCTGGGTAAGTCACACAGGGTCTGACCTGGTCACACATCACTTTTACCGGCTGGCAATTCTTTTCCCCTCTGAGCATGTGGAGAGTCATCCAACTGTGTTTGCCTGACTTGCTTGCATGTGAGAAGTGTGTTTGTTTTATGATCAGTATCTTGGGTTTTCAATAAGAATCTTACAGGAGATGATCCTGCTATGATCCTTGCTAATGTACGTATAGGCTAGTAAGCACTGATGGCCTTGTGCTTTGATTTCATGAATAAGGAAATGAAATGGGAAGCACATGACATTTAAAAAAAATATTTTATTAGTTTAAAATTTATTTTAACCCTCTCTGTTTTGGCAAAGAGGCAAGTTGCATGTGCTGTTTGCCAGATTGTATCTCCTGCTCCTTCTCTCTTTAAATATGTGCTTATTTACTTCCTGCAGAGTTCAATTTTAGAACCTATCAAAGTAGATCCACTCAGACTCTGACTACATTTTCATGCATAAATTCATAGACATCTTCAGAAGGAATTGCACTTGCATATGCAAATACTTTCCGATGCCTTTTCATTTCTACTTTTGGTCTGCACAGTTTTTTTTAATTCATGCAAAAACATTACACAAACAAATATGGGCTCAATAACAACACAAGGCATGTGTGAATTGTTAATTGCAAAGCTATGGGTTTGATATGGCCAAGCAACTTCCATTATTATCAATGGAAAGGAACAATAAGGTGTATTTGAAAATACACTCCCAAGCACTTGGTTTCGTTTTATGTAAATATTAATAAGGGAAAAGGTGACAGGCCAATCCACAATTCAACAATAGCTTGCGATCTACAGCTCAGTGCACATGGATCCAGGGGCCAGGACGCACCTTTAATGAGACTCAGGCCGACGAGTCTACATTTCAGCACAGACACATGAGAATCACAAATGCATGCAGCAACTCTGCAAATGAAACCCAAACAATGCAGCTGAAAATGAAAGGCTTTCATCCATGTTGAACGTGCATCACCTTCCAAAATTTGTGAATTTTGTGTATGTGCTGCTTATGAAAACAACAGAGAGATGCCCTAATTTTTCATATTTCATTATTCATTAAATTTCAAATTTAAACACTGCTTTATTTAATTAAGCCATGATTCCTCCTATTATTTTTCCAATTCCCACTACATGCTTTTTGGGGTCAGGTGAGAACTTAACGAAATAAAACACCTGTTGAAGTTACTCACAGATCAAAGGCATTTCATTGGGAACAATTTTCAAGCACTCCCTCACCTCCCATTTTCTCAGAGAAGAACAGTCCATGATTAATCTATGTGATAATGGTTCAGAGAATTAGAGAGAGGATAAAAATTGTTTTAAATGTATCTTTCAAGGATCGACAGTTGTGAGACAAATACAATTTGGAACTCTTTTACTGTTGATATCCACCCCCCAATATTCTTTAAGTGACAAAGCAGGGGTAGGTGAAATGGGCAGCAAAGAGATTTACTTTTTGGTTTCAGACTATCTCTGGATTTTAGGTTTAGAAATCATGAGCATAATGTTAATTAATAACATACACAGAGTATTGTCTAAGAAATAAAGATAGGTAAAGTAATGTAAGGAAGCTGAAAAAGCAGAAATGGAATTCCAAGGGAAGGTATCATTAGGGGTACAACTAATTGCCACATCAATTGTCAGGAAAAGGGAACAGGAAATAAAGAATTAATGTTGTCAACCAGCTGATGCAATAAACCACCCTCATAGGCCTAGACCCTTAGTGTTGACAGGGTTGAAGCTACCAACTTTGTGGGTAGCCACCCAACACGTGACCCACTCTGCCACCAGAGCTCGTTGATCATCATATAGTGGGGTAATGCCTTTCTTCACCTATCATCTACTTGAGTCGCCCCAATTCTTGGAGGTTCCAGAGTAAACTCCAAGGAGAGCAGATAGAAGCCACAGAGGGGCTCCTGGTCCTCAGGCCTGAGATTCACGATGCTCCTAGAGATACCCAGTCGGAAGCCAAGGGTCCTACTATCTCACCTTTCAAACCCCACCATGAAGCCTCCAAAAGCAACTCCCCGGACGTTCAAGTTGGTGTTGAGGAGACACGAGGCCCCTTGGTATTACCTGTGGGAGTTTGATACGGGCCGATAAAGGGATTGTGCTGAATTACAACCTAATGGGGTAGCTGCTTGCCAGCCCGGATCGTTTGCAGTTCGGTCTCCTCAGTCATGGGCGCACATCTGTCGTCAAGGGGGAGACGGATCCGCGCCGAGGCCCGCAGGCTCCGCTCTACCTACCTTGCCGGGGAAACTCGTCCGACTCCCGGGGAACCAGGTCGGCGACGCGGTTTCCGTAGTGCATCCTGCCGTCGTGGTCGTAGGCCTTGAGCGTCTCGCTGGAGCTGTACGACTTCTGCGTGGGCACGCGGCGGTCGTCGCCATCCAGGGACGGGCTGGTGTAGCGGCACTCCTTGCCGCACCGGCCTCGCGTCAACGAGCGGTGTCGCCGGTCCTTCACGTCCATTGCGCCTGATCAGGCAGCACACGGAGTTCTCGGGGAAAGTCAGTGCCCGCGTCTGGAACTTGTCACTTCACCACCTGAAAACATCAGAGGAAAGACCCAGCCTGAGATTACTCGAAAGGCCACCTTGCCTTCACTTCTGACCCAGACACCACCTTGGTCAGTGCGCGATGACCTGGTTGGCAAACATTGAATGTGGATTGAAACAAGCAGCCCTGCTGGGAGAGCTTCATGCAGGGAATTCATGTCCTTGCTGTGTCAGTTTAATAGATGTCAACAGCACTCCCGGCTAAAAAGTAACCCTTGTCTTCTGATTTCCTGTACCTGCATCAATAAGATACTGTGTCTATCACTCTAAGCAGTGCAAAGCCAAGCCCGTTTTATTATTCTTTAACTGCGATGTCTCTTTGTTACAGAAAGGCGGGGAGACAACGAGGCTAAAGAAGAAGACGAAAAGAAAGATGCAACAGTGGATTCCATGCTGAAGCATAACAATCCACAGCCAGCAAGTTGATTCCGATGGCTGTGACCCTGGCAGACAGACAAGTCCTGCTCCTATAACCTATAGACTATAAATCCCTAAGGCAGCCGACTGTCTCTTTTTTCCCCCTCAGAGCAGCTTGTGGGCTGGAACCAGTGACCATTTAGTTTGTAGCCCAATGTGTAACGGACTGCATCACTGGGGCTCCTATGTGGCATACATTTGTGCTATTAATATATTAATACTTTCCAAGGGTACGATGTCTCCTTCAATTAACATAAAATTGTCCAGCTGAGCCTGGAGAAGAATGAAATAATGCTTTCTTGACATGCGAACAATCTCCTTCTGATTTCCTTAGTAAGTGTTGAGCAAACTCCCAATCACTTTACTTTCTCCTGTGCAAATCTGTGCCTTGGGCACACCTGGCAACTTCTCCTCTCCAGTTGGCCCCCAACAGGAGAACTCTCCTTCATGACCAGTCTAATTGGCACAGCAATCTGATCATCAACCTGGCTCCTACAGTTCCCTTCACTGTTTGGACATCTACTTTGGGAAAGTTTTAAAAAGAGAGAGAAAGAGAGAGAAAAGAGCTGAAGACAATAAATAGGTAAGTTGATGGGAAGGGACACGTCTCACGTCTAAACCAGGAACCAGGGAGCCCACAGACTGCCTTTTGATATCCGGGGACTACAATTATATGCCAAACATCACTCAGACAACACCAACCTTCTGCCTAGCAAATACAACCCAAACGCTTAGGCGCTTCCAAGTTCCAAATGATAGGCTCTTATTGATTTCATTTGCCATGCAAAATAGCATGGATCACAGGGCCAGGGCCTGGACAGAATGGACAAATAATAATTTTAATTAAAATTGAAAATACAACTCAGAGCCTGAGCAATGATTTTCTCTAGGCTCATGTTGCATACTGCCTCCTCAATATGTCAGCAAATGCTAGGGCAGCAGATCTGTAGTTCTGAACCCCTCGGTTCATCCTTGGCTATTTACCACGTGACAACACACTGGAATGAGATGCCTATGTGTACTGAAGGGCTAGTCTATGTACACAGAGCAATAGAGATGTAGATGGCACCATATCTGGACCAGGCAGAAGTAGCCAAGCAATCCCTCCGTTTTCCTTCACTTAAGGGCCCCTTCTGAATCACAGAGGCCAGTCTCCTACCCCACTCTACTCAGACACCTTATCACACATTCATATTCATAGTGCCTGTGATTCTGGACATGTAAAACGTGGTACACTCCTTGGGAACATCAAGTACGGTTGTGTGGTTGCCATTGCAGTTTATAAAATAGCTTATATTCTCAATGAGCAAGTTGAGCTACCTTTTTGAGTGTCACAAGTCAAAGCCTCCTTGCCTGACTTGGAGGCCACAAATAGACAACATCAGCAAGGAAGTGTTTGTGGGGCAGTCAGTTCAAATGTCTTCAAGTGAATGCATTTTGTACATTAAAATACACTCCCTTAGGTTATGCCATGCCATGTTGTTATGTTGGACTTCATATTGCACACTAATTAAATATGGGGCACTCACTATGCAGAGCCTTATAAAGATAACTTCAGGTCTTTGATGCTCAGTTTCTTAGTCACAGAAAAGGATAGGATCGATTGCAGAGAGCTTTTGCCAAAATTAAAACAGGTATATGGGCAAATCTCCGGATCTATTGTCTAACCCACAATAGGGACACAGTATGAAGTATTTCCCCCTTATAGTTTCCCCTCTCGCTTCGCAATCACCAATGTAGAGGTGGGGGAGAACATACTAAAAATCTATGGAACTTAACCTTCTAATTATAAACATGGACACCGCTCACTTGTGGAGTATCTCCTTCTCAGATATTTTGCATTCATAATACCTTTGAAAAAATTTCCAGGTAGCACCAGTGATCTGATTCCATGCAGGACCACACAGAGGATGCCCTTTGTGAACCCCCTTGTATTATATACTAGAGGCCTTCCTGTTGCCATAGCCACACGAGGGAAAGAGTCAAGTCAGCAGTGGGAAACCTTCTTCCATTTGTCTGTGAAGGCTTGACGCAGCTATAGACAGCATGGAGTGAAACCAGGAACCGACAAAGAGAGATCAGCTGGGGGCTTGGACTTGTCAAAGAGGTCTACCAGAGGAAGCAGAGAAGAGGAAACATAGAAGGAGTTTCACAGGGCAGTGGTGTCAAGGACGGGGAAAGATAAACAGGGTTCCTGCCCAGCAAGAGAGCAGTGGGTAACATCAGACTACCACCACCATCATTATCAACACATATCATGGGCTCTGCAGTGTTGGAAAGGTATGGTGGGGAAGAGGGACCCAGTAACCAAGCCAGCCCACTGGCATAGGAGGTGGCATAACCAAAGTATCAACTCCCTTTAATGACCCGGTCTTTGGAACCTAATCATGTTGACACATGGGGAGGAAGGGTATCAAGGTTCAATGGTGTATCAGTAAAGAAAGGCCTTCAACTTCTTCTGACTATTTATAAATTTGTGTGCAACAGATGTGCTCTAAGGAATTTTTTGTGCCACTGTAAATTTCTATTTTGTAATGCCTTCGGTGTTTTTGAGTCATGGTGTCCTATCTCTTCTCATTTGAAGTATGCCTGGGAAGTCAGCGTGACTTTCTATAAGTGTGTGCGTGTATGCGTTTATTTAAAGACATGTGCTGAGTGGGCACCTAAAGGCTAGTCCTTATTAACAAAGTACAAGAATTTTAGTTTTTGGATATTTTAGCATATACTGTGGACTCCAAGTGATTTTTTTCCAGCTAAATTCCTAATTCTTTGTGTATATATATATATATATATATGTTATATATTAGTATATATATATACTAATTCCTGTTGCCATTGAGTTAGTTCAAACTTTTAACAGCAACAAAGGACAGAGATCGAACTGACCCATTGCGCTTCCAAGATTGTAAATATTAGGGTAACAGATTGCCAAAACTTTATTCCATGAAATAGCTGGTGATTACGAACCACATGTCTTTAGCAACCATTGTATACATTTTAACACCTGAAAAACAGCTGAAAAAAATCCACTAATAGTACGAGTTTAGAGTGTATGAAGTATTACTCTAGGAAAATAGGAAGTAGTTAAAAACCACATGTCTTTAGCAGCCGTTGCATGCACTATTGTATACATTTTAAAACCAGGAATAATCTGTTTTAACATTTATACATTTTACTACTACTACTACTACTATCACTAGCAGGACTTTCTACTCCCATAAATATTCACAATATCAGAAACACATAGGGACAGTTCTATCCTGTCCTATAGGCTCATGATGAGTCAGATAGACTCAAGAGCAGTGAGTGAGGCTACCATCCACATCAACCACTTCTCTTTCAGTTTATCATGGTGTGGTAGCTTGAGGTGAGAAGCTGTAAGCTATGTCACTGGCATTTCAAATATGATCAGGGCCACCCAACGTTAATAGGTTTCAAGGGAGCTTCCATATTAAGAAGAAACGATGAATAAATGTAGGTTTATAAAGAGACCTTCCACCATGTGCTGGCAAACAACCTCTAATGTTTGTCTTATCTTTGGGGGAGACAAAGCTAGGGAAAAGTCTAGGATCTGCCCATCTTGTCACATGTGTGCCCCCAATACCTCCCCTTTCTATTGCATGAATACCCCTAGATCATCCCCCACTCATTACTGTATTACCTGTAGCGCAACCCTTTACTGTGACATATTATCTTCACCTGCAATTAGGGGGCTTGCACATCCCCAGAGATGATATAAGCCTGGGTTAGCAATAAAGAAGCTCTCCCTTCATACCCTTCCCCTCTCCCTAACCTTCCTCTCTCCCTGGCCCTCTCTCTCTACTCCCCCTTCCTCTCCCCTGTCCTCACTCCCCTGTTCCATGTCCCTTTGTCCTCCTTCCCTCCCCCTCTCTCCTGCCCTCCTGTCTCCCATCTCCACGTGGACCACCAAGTGAAATGTGTCTGACTCCATTATTTCAATCTCTCATCTATCTCTCATGCTCTTCATGACTTTATCATAATCTTTATATATATCTTAACCATACAATTGTGCCTATCAAACCTGTGATTAGTTGTGGGGGGCTGACCTTTCCCCTACAAAGAAAGAATAGATTGTCTACTTCTAAGGAATCAGTCCCTGAAAACCTTCTGATTAGCAATAGAATAGTGTCAGGTATTGAAACCCTCCTGAATGGCAGGAGGGAATTTTCAGCTGTAGAGTCAAAGGATGAACCCCTCTGGTTGGAAGGCACTCAAAATAATGCTGAACAGCTTCCTTCTCAAAGTAAAGACAACCACAACAATAGGGGCAAAGTTAAGCCTTCCATATCTTCATTTGCTAAGGGGACATGATCCCATTATGAAAAGAATTTTCACCCCACATGAAAAGAAACAGCTGAAAAGATCCACTAATAATATGAGTTTGGGATGCATGAACTGTTACTCTAGGAAAAAAGGAAGTAGTTAAAAACAAAATGAAACACATGGAAAATCAACATGCTAGGCCTTAGTGAGCTGAAATGGACAGGTGTTCAACATTTT